CGCGAGAACATAAGACTACCAATATTTTAGCACAGCTGCGTTTGCCTGTTCCTATTTGCTTCAGGATTCTATCGTGTGCTTTCAAAAACTAGCGTTTACTGTGTGCAGTACTACATCTAGTCTCGGAGTGGGGCTGTGATTGGCCGGAAGTGGCTTATAAACGAAAATTGGAAGTGTTGTTTTGTCATCTTGTTTCCTATCTTCTGGTACTAAGTTTAGTAAATTACCTATCTCATGAAGTGAGGGCAACAGTAGTTTATGTAGTGCACCTCATTTATCCTCAGTACTAGCATTTTATCCTACGAAAACGGTGGTTACAGGGTAGTTGGATGGGGAATTAGGATAGTCAATAGAATATGTTTTATTGACTGCTATATGCATTTTAGTTTATTGTATTGATAAATGTATTGTATTGATAAATGTTGTTGATTTATTGCTGTAGATTTTCCTAATCTGTATTATAGTTCAACGTATTGCGGAAAAACCCGATTATCAAATTGCAGGTTTCTTAAAGTTTCTGAAAAACATTAATGTTGGTAAGAAGGTCGTCTAGTTCAACTTACCTGGTGTCCAACTCACCGTTCTGGAGTGAGATTGATATAGTCGGCGGCGCGAAGCGCCGCGCAAACTTCAGTTTACATGTGGTACAGCTTACTCTTAGTGGCCACGGGAAACAAATTGGACTACATTTTTCGCTTTACACATACTTATAGATATTTTCTTCCCTGCCTATCCCTTTTAACACACCCCCCCAAAAAAAACCTTATAACCGCTGTTTCCGTAGGAGAAAATTCTGGGACTAAGGGTATATGAGGTGCACTACATTAACTACTTTCGCCAGATTCAGGGCCGGAATTCTGAAATGTGTTTTCAATTCCAACAGATTACTTGAATAGGATTGTAGTATTAATTATCGTGCATCGGAATTACAAAATATTTCAGTCACGCCAAGATTCTGAGTTTTTGATGGGTTTCCTTCCGGCCACCTAAAAACGCGTGTTCTATAAGCATGACCACTTAAGTAGCACGCATTTTTCTGGCTGGGCTCCGATGTCCATGTAAACTCAAACAGAGCTTAAAGGAGACATGTCCAGCAATATTCTCTCTTGTACTCATTTTGTGGAAACTTACGCCCTTATTCTTTTTTATCTAAAAAAAGTAATATTTTTCGATTTGAAATAAAAACACTTTGTTAATTGTCAAATAATTTAAAACCCTGATGACCGTTACATTTGAATTTCAGGTTTCAAAATTGCATGCCTTATACAGGGTGTCCCAAAAAATATATACACATTTTACCTTATTGTAAAATAGATGTTTAGCATAATTTACTTATTGATGTAAATGTAAAGATATTTACAAGTGTCCTTTTATTGTTTATTTCACTGAATGTCCTCAAACTGACGTCCATTTTGTTCAAGACTCGGCTGGCAACGCAAAGCAATGGGATCGCACATAGCATGAAACTATTTCCTTAGTATTCGGGTGCATTCATGTTCAATGGCTTCTCTCAATTAAGCCACTGTTGCAATAGTCAAAATGCAGTGAAAAAAAACAATAAAATCATAATTGCAAATATTTTTACGTTTTGGAAATAATAAAATTATAATAAACACCAAATTTACAATTATTTAAAATGTGTGTACGTTTTTTGGGACACCCTCTATATTCTGTCTAAGGATGTCAAACGTGCTTAAGCTATGAAGCAGTCGCTACACAGAACTCATCGAATGCTACAATGGCCCCCTAAAATGGCAGAATGCAGAGCAACAAGTGGGCTAGATAAGGGCAGGGCAGGCATTATTCGGATTGCGCTCCCGTAACAAATACCTAGGTGTCAGGCGTATTTGCAGACTCATGCCGCTCCAGTCACCTGCGCCCGATCTCGCCTCCGATCCTCTTTACTCTGTCTTGACAGCGGGCACAGGTAGGTGAGGAAAGGGAGAGTGCGTTAGATGCAGCGCAAGTCAAATACCACTTAAAATTCATCTACGCGCAATTCACCGTCCCTGTACCACCATCCTATTGAGCACGCAGTGGACATCGCCTAAAACGACGGTCGAAGTATTATGTAGGCGACACTAGTAAGTTGAAGGATACGATGTATTATGGATGAACATCTCATGGTTGCAAATTCTCTCAAAATCAAAAACTTAATTTCCGAGACCGAATATATTCTCTCTCCTCCTTTATCTCTTCCATAAGTCTTTTTCAGGATTTGTATTAATTTGTAAAGGTCAAAGCATCCGACTAAATCGGAAAATAGAACTGTGGATACATATCAATTAAACCTACAGTTTCACTGGATACTATTTTGGCGGAGAGTTTATGTTGGGTCTTAACCAATAACAATTGTTTTCTCTAAGAATATTTATTGCTGCAACAGGAAAGCACGCAGTATTTTTCCACGC